AATATATTAACCATTATTTTAATGAAATTTATCAAAGTTAGAATGTTCTAAAAAAATCGTCAAAAAATTCCCAGATCTCAGAATTAAAAATTTTTCTATAGAAACCGATCTTAAAATCGCCAAAATGTTGATAATCACCAAGTTTAGAACCGTTTAATAAAAGAATTCACATCCCCAAAAGCGGAAAGTTGTTTCAGAGCTCTTTATTACAAAAAATCTGATGTGTACACCACGACTTCCTTGTATTGGAATATTAAATTATATGCATTTTTTCTTGCATTTCATTTAAACTTATTGGATTGAATTAAATCTACTTCGCCGACAGCGCATAAACCACAATAGAATAAATGCATTTTTTAAAATTCACTCTAGCATAGCGATACTTTGGCGTTAGATTCACTTAACATTATGAATAATTATATAATGGAAACTAAGTTAACTGTTATATAATCCAATAATTATATAACAGTTAACTTATATATTCGTTCATATTATAACTCATAATGCACAAAATTTATATCATTTAAAGAATAGAATTATCTAATTGTTGCCACATGTTCTATTCAAATACTATAATAAATCTAGAATTATGTATAAAAGAAATTAAGCAAACAAAACAAAAAAGAAACAATTTTTCACAGACGATTGAGTATTTCTCATTCAATTAATTCAGTTCTCACTTTGCGACAAGGCAAAAATACATAGAAATTCAAAATATCTGTATTAAAAATTACGAAGTAAATCTTAAACACTTATTTCCTCGACAAAATTCCAGAAAGGATTAAGCATGATTTAATTCGCAATGATAAATGAAGGGTTTATCTTTGTTGTTGCCAAGCTAAGTTTCTCTAGATTGGCAACAAATAGCAACAAATCCACTATCCTGCTGTTTCAAATGTAAACAAGCAATGGCTGCCATCAAAAAAATTATTAGGCCTAACGGCACTTAAACAACTTTAAAATTGTTCACAATTCTGAAATTATTGCATACAGATTTACTAAAGGCATAAAAACATTAACCAGAAGATAAGAACAACATAATTCATGAAGAAAGTGACAGAGAAGTGATTTGTTTCTATAACCATTTCGAAATCTGTTTATCGAAATTTCACGCTGCTCTAGGGGGGGGGGCACGTCGCAGCGTGCAATGAAGTGGAAGTTGATCTGTCAGCAATATCCTTATCTTGCAGGCAGATGTTTTTATTTTATTCCGCTTATAATTCCTTACTAAATGTGTTTCACCTCATTGTACTCCGTCCTTGGTATGATTTAAATCAAATTCCTCATCATCATAAATATCACGAATACACAAATAGTTTTCTGGTTGCAATTTCCTAATTTCGACAATGTGTAAAGTCTGCTTTACGCATGTACGCGTTGAAAGAAATGTTTAATAAAGTAAACAAATAAATATTAAGCCTTTTTTTTTTGTAAATTCTGATACCCTTTAGATCATAATTGCTCTTTAAATCATAAATTACTGTTACATATTTTTAATTTTATAATTTCTGCATGCCATCTTACCAGATTTAAACTGATGATCTATAATCCGGAAAAACCGAAGTCCCGACGAGTCGGGATTAAAAACTTTTGACTGTATTACATTTCCTTGATGAAGAATCGATTTTCCTTACAGTTTTTGTGTATTTTACTTTTATCATATTTAAGTATTATATATTTACATTTGAGTATTTATGATTTTTGAGTATTTTACCTTTTTTCAGACATAACTGAAACTAAAGATTGTAATTTTTTTTAATTCTCTGAAGTACATGAAACTAGCAATCCTCACAAGTGAGACAAACTAAATAATAACCTTGATCTTGCTTTGTGCTCACACATATGCCAGATGAATCACAGTGGCATGTTTCGGACTCTCATACACAAAGCAGAAGCAAGCCATATCTCACTGATGAAATGACTTTGTTTTTCTTTTATATGTAATCTACAGAAAAATGAAGAGCTTTCAGATCCCAAATTCACTTTTTTGGATGCAATGATGAAATATTAACCCCTTAACTGGCACGGAAAATGTACAAGATTCATTTCCCAGTGCCACGGTTTTTCACACAGGCGGGCGTGTAGTTATGCGATGTATTAGGGGGAAAATAAGTGCAAGTTTTACTTTCTAAAAACTGTTTACTTTCACAAAATAAAGAATAAGAGAAAAAAATTAATGCACAAAATGTAATGTTTTGAGTAAAAGATGTAAGTATAATAAAAATGATGTTTTTATAATAGAAAAGATCCCTAAAATGGAGTTCCGATCAATACCTCTTTAGACCAGTAAAGTGTAATATCGGGTTTCAGTGTTATACCTTGTGAAATCAGTATGCCTAAAGAAACATATATTTCTTCTGAACTGGTTGAATGCCACGATTTTGTTCTTGATTTTTTGTTTGCAAGGTGTTGGTTCATATACTCATCTACAAAATGGTTAGTTTCAGCAACAATATGAAGCACGAGCAGTTCATAAAAAACGAAAATTCAAAAAAGATAAATGGGTTTGAAACATCCGTTATATCTTTCTTTATTCCTGGAACCTACTACAAAAAAGTAAACGAAAACGGACGACACAGAATAAAAAAAAATACGTTTCACTCAAACAACAGCCAATACTGAGCAGTCATCATTTTCATTGCTTTAGACACACCCTTCTCTCCAATTTCTCCCCACACTTCTCTGAAATAGTATCCTCCTTAGCATACTTTGTCAAGGTCATGTGGTGTTGCATTCCAAATGCTTTGCGAATAATTTTACAGGTAGCAGAGCAAAGCAAATGATAGTAGTTTGGAAGGGTGTATATATACGCCTATAGCAGTTAACGCATCGGCTGAGCAAGGCATATATATACACTCGCGGCAGTTAAGGGGTTAAGCCAAGCTACATAAAAATTATGAGAAAATTTAATATAAGAAAAGTCGGAAGAAATATGCTGTAAATCAGGTTGGTAGGAGTATGATCAGAAATCGGGAGTCTCCCACCTAAATTGGGATAATTGCCAACTCTGGAAACAGACAGCATATTTTATAAAGAAAATATATCCAAACAACAAGTGTAAGTTATTACACAAAGTAAAAAGAATTTCTATATTTGTTACTCAGATAGCACAATTAATTATTTATATTTTACTTTTATATCATTCATATAATCTAAATCAGGGATTCTCAACCTTTTTTTTTTTTTTTTTTTTTTTTTTTTTTTTTTGTCACAGTACACTTTTAATGATTTCAAAATTTGGCGGCACACAAAGAAAAAGATAAGTTGTTTACTCACCTATAACACACTGTGTAAAACAGTTTATGATAATAATTTTCGATGTAAAATAAAATAATATGTACTATAAAAACAGCAGTACGTTTATTAAGAGATTATTTACAAGTTAATAATAAGAATACTTTTAATGAAAAATTTGACCTTAATGTTTTTGAATAATTTCATTTATATTTGGTCATAAAAATGACAATGTCTTCTACCTTTAACAATCTCGATCTTTTCGTTTTTACGTTGGTTAATACTGAAAACCCGAATTCACACAAATAAGATGTAGAAAACTGTAATAATATTTTTAAAGCTTTTTTCTGGTCATCATAAGATAATCTCATCTAATGTTAATCCAAAATGAATTCATTAATTCTTTCGAATATTTTAAAATTAAACCTCGATAACTAAACAGGGAAATTAGTTCTTCCTCTTCCTTCAAAGTTAATTCCAATACAGAAGTATTCGGCACAAAATCGGCTTGGATCCCACAACTGGATGTAGAAATATCTACTTATTAATGTCTAAAAGACCGAATTTCGCCCATGTGTACCGTATACAGTCAAAAGTCGTTAATCCGGACTAATCGGGACTTCGACGATTCCGGATTATAGATCATCAGTTTAAATCTGGTAAGATGGCATGCAGAAATTATAAAATTAAAAATATGAAACCGTAATTCATGAAATGAAGAACAATTATGATCTAAAGGGTATCAAAATTTACAAAAAAAAAAAAAGCTTAAATATTATTTGTTTACTTTATTAAACATTTCTTTCAATGTAAGTTGTTTAAGTTGCTTTGTTTTATGTGATAATACTTTCTCTTTAATTTTATAAACAGACATAATTTCTTCTTCAGTTACAAAGTTCCGCTGTTCAAGTCCTATAATTGCTGTGTTGAGAATAACGAATAATTTGTCAATCGAAATTTTTTTGTTTTCAATAACCTCTGTGTCACTTTCTTCACTATCGGAAGCGAATTATAAGGACGAGGAATTTGATTTAAATCATATCAAAGATGGAGTACATAGAGATGAAATACTACATTTAGTAAGCCAAATAAAATAAAAACATCTGCCCTGAAGATAAGGATAGTGCTGACAGATCAACTTCCAATTCATTGCGCGCCGCTGCGTTCTCCCCCCCCCCACACACAACTTTATAAAAGTGCCTTGTATTAAATATAGATTCCAATTAGTATTTTTTAGATACATTAGCACTTTCCTACAAATAAACAAATTCATGAAGTTGCAAAATGTTCTGTCAAATAGTTTGCATGCCAAACATTGAAAATACTGAAATTTATTTGATGACATCTGATTATCAAATTTAGTAATATTTTGTGGCTTGAAATAAAAGCCATCCTGAGATGGTGTTACTAATGAGAAAGTACTAATCAATTTTCCTTAATTGCAGTAAATATTCCTAAAAACATAATATGCTAATACTACAAAACAAATAAGATATTAGGTACTACTACAGCAGAAAATTAGACTAAAACATTAGGGAAAAACAAGTGCTTTTGAGACATAGTTTATAAAAACTTCTAATACATCTGAACAGACCTAAGAAAATCTATAAAAACATAAAACAGTCAGCTTGCTTTGTTGTTGGAAACTGGATATCAAATCAAATTGCTGGTACTACATCGCTTCATCAATTTCCCCACTAGCAGACTACTAAACGAAGGATGAATTTGGAAAACTATTAAAACTGCAATAAAGATGAAATGCTTACCTCCATTCTACAACATGAGATTCATAGTCCCAATATTCTCTTGGTCTGTGTGAATTCACATCAGCATAAACTCGAGCTCGACTAGGCAGTGGCATTACACGAGAAGTAAAACAAACAAAAAAATTCAGAAACTTTGAACCGACCAAGGTTCTGCTTTAATCCAAATCCTATAAAAAATAAGTTGTAACTTGATAAACATATCAATTAATGAACTTAAAAACTACATTAAAATTAAAAAGAAAATAAGATTCAAAATCTTTGCATTAACCATGAGCAAAGTAAAAAATTCCTGTTATTCCTTACAATTATTAATAATGCATGACAAATTCCACTGGAATTATAAATAGAATTATATATAGATTATTAAAAATTATAAATATATGGAATGTTATAAATTACAAATGGAAACAAGTCATCAATGCCAGTAATGATGAAGATGAATGCATAATGAATTTAAACATGATTACAGGCAAGTAAGCTGGCAATTTAGATCACTGTTTATCAACTGGATTTACTCCAAGGACCAGTAAAATAAAGATTTCAGTACGTTCTTGCAGACCGGTAAGTTTAATAATTCGACCCATTGGCACAATTTTTTGACATAAATAAATCATGAAGACAAAAATAATTTTTAAAGCATTTTATTTGTTATAATTTACATATGTACATTCAACTTACTTTGGATTTTGGACAGATAACTGGATATTTCGTGAACTGGCAAATATTCCTTGTGAACCGGCATTTGAGAAACACTGATTTAGATCACCAATAGCCTATAAACCTACACATTGGAATCATGTTCCAGAGTGTCTGAATTTAAACCATGTTTATGAAGTAACATGTCCTACAAACTATTTAGTACATTTGTTATTTTAATAAATTTAATATCTGATATAGCACTTATTTGCCATTATATGTTAAAATCAGAGGCTATATAAAGTTTATTTCACTCTTAGAAAAACAATTTATTACAATTTACATAGGTAGCAAAAGTTTCCTTTGCCATATTCATCTCCATTTCAATTCGATCGCACTTTTGCTCTCATACAAAGAGATACTAAATTATTAATTTTTACTAAGCAGTTCTTCTTAATGTCTATTATTTCCAAAGTTTTTTTCATAATCTGTTGGCTACGAATTAAGATCCAATTGATAAAAACTTTTCTTTCTGTTATTTTAACCCTTTACACTCGAGCAGTGCCACAATGGCACTCGGTAAGGCTGAAATGTCCACTTGATGTGTGCTGTACTGCCATTACGGCATTTTTAAAGTTTATCTGTTTATTTACAATATGCGATCGGATCTTATCTGAAGTACTTTTGAGGATCAGGCTCGGCTTGCATACTTAGACAAATCTTAGCTTGGTTTAGTCTCACAGCATTTGCTCGAAAAAAAAAAAAAAGAAAGAAAAGAAAAGAAAAACATATAGCGTTAAGCTTTAGAAAAATTCAAGCTAAAATTATATTAGCTCTTCACTAATAAAAACCTCAAGTGCAAACGATTAAACTGAACTTCCTGCTACATATAACACCAGCAACATTTTACTTAAAAAGCAATACATTCAGTCTCCCTTCCTTTTCCAGAATTATCGTAAACTGTAACTATTTCGATACAGTACTGCCAATTTATATGTCAAAGTACCTATTAATGAAAGCTTTCCACCCAAAAAAGTTCTTAATAAAATTAGAAAAAAGTATGAAAGCAGTACCTTTAGAGTAGGTTTGCATTTATCTTGAAGGAACATTGCTTTTTTGTGCCGGAACTCAGTTCGATGTTTTCCTTGATAGCAGCGTCAATACAGATTAGCATCTTGCTGTACACCTTACTGTCGAGGGATTTACCTTTTTCAGATACTCTTTGTGGATAATCCCACGGCAATCCTACAAGATAGAAAGCATGATCTTTTCATTAGCTGAATTGCACTTTGCGACAAGCTCACTGGGTGCAGACCAACTCACTTTTCAGCCTGTGTTGTTGAAATAAATCCACTTTTCATCACAAGTGATGATCCAGTCTAGAATTTTATCTTTATGTTGATATTCGAGCAGATTAATGCAGGCCCGAACACATCTGTTCTTATCTGCTTGAGTCAGCTCACGCGGCACCCAGTGTGATGATATTCCCAGCGATTGAACTTGTACGTCAAGTTAATGCAATGTATAGTACGACTAATGGACATCTAACTCCTTACTAAGCTTTGGGTGGTTGCCTACTAATCTTCCGCAAGTTCTCATATGTGGGCCTCATCAACATCAGTAGGCCGGCCAGAGCGATCTGCTTCTTGAATATCATAGTCGCTGTTTTTGAACTTTCGGTACCAAACTTTCACAGAGTCGTATGATATAACATTAGTACCTAAAGCTGTGTGCATGATTTGGTGACATTCTGTAGCTGACTTTTTGCAACAGAACTGGAAGTAAATAATGGTTCTAATCTGGTAGCGTGATAGTTCCATTTCAGATGCCTTGCACTTCATGATAACGATATTTTCTTACAAATTTGACACTTCTAAAGCAAGTCTCTTTCTTTCAACTGCTAAAAATCGTTTGACCAAATTATAATTAAACACACAAATACGAACTGTTTGTTCAGACAATATTTGTGGTGGCAGGACACTTTCATTAAAAACCCTATATTTCATAACATTTTATTCTTATTCAGTCCCCCACACACAAAAATCTTTTTAAGTTTCATTTTATTTATTAAATCTTTAAATATTTTTACTCCTACTAACTAACTACTTAAATAATTAAAAAAATCAGAATGCTACTGGAGATTTTAAAATTGCTTTGTGAACTTATGCAATACCTTCAATTTTTATTTATTTATTTATTTTAAGTATTAACTACAGTAATCTAATCACAGAAAATATTTTGAATCAAAAATATCAAGTGAAGAAGCTTTTTTTCCTATGCAACAGTTTTAAATTTTTAATATAAATTGACCTTAAAATTGCCAAAAGTTGACAAAGTTAGCATCACATAACTGAAGAATTCCCATCCCCTGAGGCTACGTTCAGATGGCGGCGTAAAGGGCATAGAGGTGTAGTCATAAGGGCATAAAATACGGGAATTCCGTTCACACTTGTGAGAACAGGGTGCAAGCCGTGGCCAATGGGAGAAGCTAAATTTGCGCATGCGTAGATGTGTCTACAACTTTGCCACGCTTTTCTCCTGCTCGACTGACTTCCCGCATTCGCTCTGCTTGTATTGTGACAGCGAAATCTTCTGTAGAACGCCGCTTCGTTTTAGCTTCGCTCTGACTGGTCGACGCTTATCCCAAACTCAACGTAAAGTTGAAAACTTTGAACCCTATGCCACGAGCAATAAACCAGATTTTGTGACGTAGCACAGGCTGGTTGCCTTGGCAACAGAGCTCAGCTTTAACTACTTATGCCCTTTACGCCCTCATCTGAATGAAGCTTAAGGTGAAAAGTTGTTTCTGATATGAACTCTTCATTCGCAAAAAGAAATAATTTTGAAAAGTTCATGCTGCAAATAAGGCCCGGAAAATCAAGTATTTAATTGTTTATAGTAGATGTAGAAATGAATTCAAATGATAACTGCTCAAATACATGTTACTCGATGAATCAAGCATTCCTCAGGTGAGATGATAAGTAAAATAAAGGACTTTTAAGGACATGCAAATCTTAACTTAATTTTAAAATACCTGTTTCTAAGATTTGCATGCAATGGAAACCTGTTTCTAAGATTTGCATGCAATGGAAAAAAAAAAAAAAAAACTGTAGTAAGATTTCTGCTAGTATTTTGCTAAGGAAGCAATTATTTTGAACATACCTTAAGCGAATGCCAAAAAATTACCACCATGAAAGAAATAAAAATGCAGTCGTAAATTTATCGATTGATTTTTGGTATAACTACCTAATAGAAAAATACCTATGCATTCAGTAAATAATTTTTTTCAATAATAAGTTGTCATTCGTTTTCTTAGCAGAAAATCACTAAAATGTGACAAGGCAGTTGTGCAAATAAGTGTGTAAAAATAAGTATGTAATAAAATTATATCAAGTATAATGTTCAAATGTTGAAAATAAAACAGCATAAGAATGCAAAAAAACCGTTGGAGGGAGGAAAAGCTTTCCTCACATTATAGTATCTGAATATAACTTAGTAAATCATAGTTTCCCCGAATGTTTTTGGCCTACTGTTTCCATATCAATGTTTATTTTGCACAGCGCACCACTACTCTTGCAATAATAGATACATTATGTATACTTCAAAGGAAATTGGTAGGTGCTAACTGAAAATGCATACAAATTTTAGGGGTTTATTTTACTTGACTAAAGCTTTAGGTACTACTCTTAAATGCTCCCTCAGGTCGACAAATGTGGCGATATGTGTTGTGCACTGGTTTTTGGCACGAATACGTGTTCTGTGATGGTTTTGAGGGCGATGCTAGTTTCTTTGCAAACCCTTTTTACGTGGAAACTCGGATTTGCTAATTGGTTTGCGTGGTGTGTGGTAATTAAGTGATTTATGATGTGACGGCAAAATTTTAGTCATGTGCCTGGTACAACTATTTTTCGGGTGGCTGGAAATTCTACAAATATAGAGTAAAAGAAGGTTTTGAACACTTATTTGTGAAAGATGGTATCAATTTTGTGGATATCGAGTCTAGCTGTCATATAAATATGATAGAGATTAAGTGGTGGCATGTTAAAGCTACGTTGCCTACTTATAATTTGAAATGCAATTTGTGCTTTATTTGGTGGTTTATATATTTCTCCATCGTTGTTTTGAAACGGAAGAAGATGCTTTTAACAAATTTGTGGTGAAATTGTTTTGGTGATATTTGAAATTGGTATTTCTGCTATTCGAAGAAGCATTCATTCATGGTAAATGCATATTTTATTCTTGTTCTTATTTTGTAGAATGCTATGTCCATTGTTTTTTCAGTATGAATTTCTGTCGTTATTATTGTTTTTTTGAATTGTTTGAAATTTATTTTAGTTTATTTTGTTGATTAAGGTGCGTTCAGACGTGGGTGTAAAGCACATAAAGGCATAAAATAGGGGAGACCCATTCACACCTGCGAGAACGAGGTGTAAGCAGTGGCCAATGAGAGAAGCTAAATTTGCGCATGCGTGGAATGTCTACAACTTTCCCACGCTGTTCTCCCGCTCGATTGATTTCCCGCATTCGCTCT